TGGTATTATCTAAAAAGGAAACATACTCTGAAGACACATCAGTGAGAAGAACCCTATTTTCCCTTCTGCACCTTTTGTAGTTGTGCTTTCCTAACTAATTAAGAGTATATTCTAACTTTAGACTAGAGTAACTTAATTTTTTTCAAAATAATGATTGATAGAAATTACATACAATCCTTACATTAATTCACAACCCAAAAGGGTAGTCTTAAAAACCTAAAAGTATTCTGTCACTATTTCATCAGTGTGATCAGCTTCATCTTAGGAATTAATGTTAAATGTATACTGTTACCAGAAAAAAAAGAAGAGGACTCAGGACAAGAAGGGGTATGTATTGTTATTGATAATTCCACAATGGAATCTATTTGATAGGTTTTATCATTAAGTGCTATAAGTAAGGCAAAATTTAAGAAGTTCCTCCAAAGCACACAGACATTTACTTCAGGGGTTTTTTTTAAATACTTTTCTTTGCCTTCTAAGGATTGTATTTACTGTGTAGAGACTTCAATAAGCATTCTTCAAGTAAAGAACACTGAACTGAGTAGGATGTCTTAAAGTTGCACTCAGCAAATTCTACACAAGTTAACACACGTGTTTTGAAAATATAATCAAGTGCACCAATACTGCTTAAAACAGAAGTGTGCCATCATTACAAAAACAAAGGCAATACACTAAACACAAGTTTTTTTCCATAATTTTAAGTAACTTCTTCAAGTTTTAAAATATTCAGAGAGTTTTGCACCTGAATGCAACTTTTAATGTTTAAATACAGAAAATGCCATACATCATACTCATAAAAAAATGAACCCTCATTTGAACCCTCAAATGAACTTCTGCTAAGGTGCAGCTTCAGAAACCGTGCTCAGTGTTACCTTTCACAACAGTTGGAACAATGTAAAGAGATGCCTCCTGGCCTGCCTTCTCTCCATCTAGAGGAAACTTCTTCATTAACACTACACGCTTTCCTAGTGCAGTATTAAAAAAAAAACCAACACAAAACAATTAATCAATCAACAAAACAAAGAAAAAAATCTATACTTGGCTATCTGAAAGCTTACCAGACAATTTCCCTAATTCCTAGGAAGAAAACAGTTATGATTATACTTACAATGTAAAGCAAGCTAAGAAAATCTAAATACATGTGAAAAACATAAATACGTATAAACCCATTAATATGAAAAAGTGACATGACTTTAGCCCTTTATAGCAGGGGATTTTTTTGCTTGTCTGACCTCAGCTGCATATTTTAGCAGCAGTCACACTAAGCTGAGCATTATTAATGCTTGGGCTTTCTGTGTGAGTCAATTTAAAACGTTTTAAACTGTATAAGAAACAGGCAGATTTAGCTTTTACAAGGCATTCCTCGATGTGTATTAATTCTGTTATTCTGTGTTTGCTGAATAACAAGCTTTGTCAAGTCTGTCCAGCTGCAGTTATTGCCACCTGCAACATTTTACCACGCAACCAGCTATTCATCCTTTAAATAGTCAGCACTGCATTGACTTGCCCTCACTGAACCTTCCCAGTATAACCCTAATGTACAAAACAGAGATGAGGTACATAGCAAAAAACAAAAGTCCTTTAGTCTGTATAGTTTATACCAATCTGGAAATGAAATATGCTAGAAAACAACTTTGTCAGCACAAGTGTGAGTTTTTTTACTAGATCAGCCATGCAACAACAATGAAAAAGAAAATGTACTCATTAAATTCCATCTATAAGTGATACAGTTATGCCAGAAATATTTTCATGTAGATACTGTCTCCTGAACAACAGACTTTAAAATCTATGAATTCACTTGTCAGATTTTAGCTGAAATTAAGGATAAAAAAGCCACTTCCATCTGGTTTACTGGAACTTTAGCTATAAATCTAAACTTGAGGTGAAGAAGTAGTTTCATTTATTAAAAATCTTTTAGTAAGCATTTTTATAGAGTTGGAAGCTAAACGACTACAAAGGTAAATTAGAGCGTTTAGTTGTATAGTTGGCTTGGGGTTTTTTGATGAACCTCCAAACATACCTTCTTTTTTTAATACTAATTTCATGGTTTTGGCACAACCTTGCCAAGCCGTATTATTTTAAAAAGCATTTTTATGATGCTATCAACAATATATCAGACTTTTTTTTTTACCTTTAATACCCTGATTGGCTGGTGAAATTGGTTTGGTGGCTTCTAATACATAATCCAAGATGCTCTGGGTTATCTCAGTGCCTCCTTGAAGTTTAGTTTCCAGCAAAACTTTCTTTCTTTTTTTCTTTTGGCCTTCAATGGGAACTTCAAGCAACAAAATCTTTCAAACAATAATGAAACCAAAGGAGTTTAAGCACAACTGAATGACGCACAGGACCTTTTTTTTATTATTATTATTTATTGTACCACTGTAAAAGCAGTAACAATACAAGAAGTACTGAATGTTGAGGAGCAGGATGGTGAAGTCAGGATGACCTCTCTAACAGGTTAAAGAGAAAAACACAAGGCTACACCCTTGTAATGAGCAGCCCACAAGGCAAAAGGCCCTGAAATAAAATACATAGGTATTACAAAACCATAAAGTGTGCAAATGGGGCATAAGGATGGGGCAATGCATAGTAGGTGTATGACACACATAGACATTACTTAAGTAATCTTACTGTCAGATTTTCTCTTCTGCTATATTATTACTTATTTACTATGTATTATTTAAAAAACCCCAACATAGATAATAAAAATAGATAATAAAAAATTAGATAATAAAAATTAAATAGTTTTACTTCATAGGATTTAGCTCGGTATTCCCGGGAATTGAGGCTAGCAGTATTTTTTGGACGAATCACAGCAACATATGCATCTCCAATGTTTTCTGGGTTTCCCATCTCTCCTTCTTATTTTATCACTGGAAACAACAAATAAACAGGAAGTAAAGGTTCAGTTGAAAAAAACCATCCAACAGCACAGTAAACTTCAGGATGCAGTGGTTATATCAACCGGTGCTTTGCACTATTCATTTACTGTTCTTTAGCTGGAGAAATGCCAATTTCTGATATAATTCTGCTTCCTTTTCATGAAAGAGGAAAATAGTACATCACAAAGATTTAATACAAATAATCTCGTTCTCTAACCCACTTTTAAAATAAAAAGAATGTATTTTTTAACTTTGTAACTATCTTCCCCATTTTCCAAGGCAGGCAAAAGGCCAAAGAAATTTAGAACTCTGGAAAAGATATGAAATTGAAAGAGAAAGTGATTCTAAAGTGACAAGCACTGTAAATTATAAAATGTGCTGTAACAAATTACTGCATTTCTATGAGTTCCATGTGGATTTCAAGAAAATACCTCATTTTTGTCTCCTCCCCTCCAAAGCAGAACACAGTCTTGCCTACAGCCAAGTAACAAAACCTATAAACTATAATATGGATTCATTTACTTAGTTTCACTTCAGTGGGACTGCAAAGTGGTGCATAATTCATTCAAACAGAGCTTCTGAAAGGAATACTCCTTTAGTTTTTGCAAAAAGTGGACAGAGGCTTTTATATTTAAGAAAAAAATTTGCTTACCCTTCTGTTTAAACCAAGGTCAGAATTCCTATAATCACAAAATTGTATGGAAAATTATAGAGAAAACCTCATAAAGCTAAATCACTCCACACATCAGCTTCAAGAAAGAAAGGTCATGCCTGACCATTAGCCCCTTTCAGCTGATCATCTTCTTCATCTGCAAATGCACATCCTTTCATTCCATAGTATCAGTAAGCGCATGCTTTTTGCAGAATAATTCCTCCACAGATTTTAAGTGTTACTGTTTCTAGCTTCTTCACCTCTTCTAGAAGAAACAGAGGTCTTCAGATCCCCATGCCTTAATCCAGTAATTTTCTTGGGATCAGACTACCTGAAAACATATAAAAAAAAAATCCCAATGTAAATAACAGAATGGTCATTTTCACCTTCCGTTAAGCTAAACACTGATGAATAGATGAATCAGTGATGTTACATGAAGAGTAATATCCAAAGAGAAGCATCTAATAATTGGCATTACAGTAGCATCTTGAAACATTAAACAAACATGCTGACTTTTGAGAAGTCATACTTTGGGACATCAGGAGTTTTAAAAGGAAAAAGAAACTATCCCTTATGAGCAGCTGGGAAAGGCATGGTCCCTGGGTATCCTTACATGTACTGGGATATCCTTGGCTTGGGTCACAGTCTTGTGTGGAGAGAATCTGCACTGGTAGGGCCAGGCCACCTGGGTGGCAGATGATAGAACATGTGAATAAGCAGCAGGTGAAATCCCTCTGCCACTGCTCTGCACTAAATCCAGAGTGGAATAAACATATATGACTGAAGAAAACAAAAACTGAGGATGAAGAAGGATAGGGCTGCAAGGCTGTAACAATAAACAAAAGGCACCACCGGGAACTGACCCTGACCAAACCCGGGTGCCAACAACGCGGCCCTTTCCCAAAGGATGCCTGTCTGAAGCACACGCTTCACTCCGGCTTCTTCCAGCACCGCCGGCCCTTCCCGCCTCCCACAGGACCCCCCGGGACGAGGCAGAGGGCCGCTCCCGCCGGGATCACGGCCCCGCCAGGGAGGAGGGCACCCGGGGTCCGCGGCCTCCCCCGCAGCGCCGCCTCCATGGGCACGGCGGGACCCGGCCGCTCTCGGAGGAGGGCGCCGGGCGGGGGCGGCCCCGCTCCCCAGCGCCTCCCGCCCCCGCCGCCCGGCCGGGAAACGCCCTCGAACTTCCCCGCCGCGCCCAGGAGCCGCCGGGCAGTGGCTCCCGGAGCGCCGGTCCCGCCGCAGCCCCGTGGGGCAGGAGCGGCTCCCAAGTCCGCGAGATCGCCCTGGGGCCGAGGTCAGGAACGGCGCCCCGGCCCCGCTCGCTCCCTGCACGCCTTGCCTTCCTCGGTCGCACCGGCCGCCGCCTGCCCGCCGCATCCTCCCGCCGCCCAGGCCCCGCGTCCCGCCCCGCTCCGCCCCGTCCCGCCCCGCTCCCTCCCCCGGCGCGGCGGATCCGCTTCCCGTCAGAGCCCCGCGGGCCTCGGCTGCCGATGAGTTTCCGGGTCGGCGGCCTGAACTTGTGCTGCCGCCGATTGTTGACCGCGGCCGGAGAAAGAAGGAGCGAGCCGGGGCTGCGGCCCGGGCCGGGAGCAGGAGGCGCGGCGGGAGGGCGGGCGGGGAGGCGCCGAGGCGGAGCGGCCGCCCGGGCCTGGGGAGCGCCGCCGGCAGCAGCCGCTGTCAGCGCCGCCGCCGCCGAACAAAGGGGCAGCGAGCCGGCGGCAGCCGCAGCGCCCTGACCGCGCCGGGCAGCCCGGCGGGCTGAGTGACAGCCCCGGCTGCCCGCGGGGCTCCCGCTGGAGTGGGCACTCCAGAGGGCGCCGCAGCCGGAGCGGAGCGGGAGAGACGAGCGGCCGCTGGACACATGGAAGCGCTGGGTGGTGGGCGCGGAGGCGCCGGGAAGGGCCAGGGAGAGCCCCTGTGAGGAGCCGGTGAGTGCCCCGCGGCGCTGGGCGAGGCTCGGGCGGGGGCTGCGGGAGGGCGCGGCGAGGGGAGCCCGGCCGCGGGCACATCGGGGCGGCTGCAGCGCCCGCATCGCGGGGGGCCGGGCCGGGAGGCGGCTCTGGGGGCGCCTCGGCAGGAGAGGGGAGCGGAGCGGGGGAGGCGGGAGCGGCCGCGGGCGAGGTGAACTGGCGGCAGGTTATCGAGGCTGGAGTGGCAGGGGGCAAGGGGGATACCGGGAGGCGGCGGCCGCCAGGCCGGGGGATTAAGGGGCAGAGAGGCCGCCGCAGGTCCCGGCTCTCGGCCGGCGGGGGGCCCTCCCCTCGGGACTGGCCGGGTCGAGGCGGGTCGGCGTCAGCAGAGCCGGGACGGCAGAGACCGTCGGAAAGTTTGGACGGCCTGGCTCCAGCCAGCTCCCGCTGCTGGGCTCGTGCCCGCCTTGTTTGTAGCCTGGAAATCCTGCCCGGAAGGCAGAAGGGGAAAAGTACGAGTGGCCAGAGTGGGAACGTGTGCGGCGGGGTGAGCTGTGGCTGCATGACCTGGCTTCCTGGCTGGGGAGCGCCGTCGGAGCAGCCCTTGAATGAAATCAAACGCTCGCGATCTCGTGGGATTTCTGCACAACCCCCCCCACCCCCGAGTTAAAAATTGAGTCTTGATACCGTAACAGTTTTATGTAAGTAGCACTATCGCTCTCCCAGGCATGTCTAAGCACATACTGGAAATTGGGCAACTTTTAAAAATTAATCTAAATAATTTATGACTACTCAGTCTGTCTCTTATTTACAGTTCAAATAGTACGCAGAGGAAATACAGAGTCATGAAAACGCTCGGCAGAGTAAAGCACTAATACTACAGCTTAAATTGTTTTCATGGATCCCTCCATTATGACTAACTGTCCTTGATTGCTCCTTCTTTGAGTGCATTTCTGTGCTTATGGGTTCCAGAAATGGAGTTTTAGTTGCAGACATAACATCAATAATATGTTGTAATTTAAGTACACTCACTAACAAGAAAGAGGCCACTGTTGAGAGGATTTTGGCTGTAGAGGTTAGCAATGAGATGAGACTGTGTCTTCCTTTACATGTATGCCTGTTTTCTCCTTTCATCTCTTTGACTTTCAATACGAAGCGTAGTGGATTAATTTCTCTTTAATCTCCCTTGCGTATAGAGGAAAATTACTCTCCTTCCTTGCGGGGAGGGGGAAGGGCTTTAGTCATAAGGAAAGCAACAGCATTTTTCAACTACTTGGAGCGTGGCTACTTAGAACTTGCTTGGTTAATATGTCTACACAGAAGTGAACTGGTAGAATTTATAGCATTTTTTTTTCTTTTTTTTTTCTTTTTTTTTTTCGTGGACATGGGAAGAGTAAATGGCTGTCCTTAGAAATCAGAGATGAAATTACAGAAGAGGCTTCTGGAAACTTTAATTCCAAGACTTTCGGTGGTTCTGTACTGGAGCAATTCATTTCTTCAACAGATTTTACTTTAGTCCTTAATCAAAAGAATAAAGTATTTTAATATTACAATATATTATTCCTGAATTACAGTATTACTGTAAATCTACTAAAAAGCTAAACAGTGTTAGGGGTGCCCTCTCTTCCTATATGCATATATGAAAATTAGTTTTAAAAGAAAGAAAACAAAAAAAATCTTACAACATTGGCACTATAATAATATCAATAACCAAAACCCAAAAATTAGGCAAGTAAGTTTTATGCAGTCCCTTTGATTTTTACTTGTGCCAAACACATCTAGAGAGGACTAAGCATGTACATACGTAAGTACATGATTTGGCTTATTGAAAAAACCACGGAGTTTTCTGGATGTGGTTACATATTGCATGTGAGTTTACATGTATCTGTTATATGTTCTTAGGTGGCCTACACACTCCAGAAAATTACAGAAAACTGAGCATGTAAATTTGAAAGGGAATGCCTTTTAAAGCTGTCAGGTTTTATTCAACTGAACAACTATAAAAATGGTTTTGCAAAATGTCATAATGTCTTTGTTCACTGTATAAGACCTTGTTAACAGTGTGGTTGATTTATTCTGTCCCAAGCAGTTTCTCACTCCTGGTCTGTGACACCTCTGCTGTGATTGCTTAGCACTATATTTCTTTTTATTTCAGTAATTGAGCTTTCTTTATTAATCATTAACTAGTTTGACTAACAGGGTTTGTGGTGTTTTGGGTTTTTTGTTTGGTGGTTTTGTTTGTTTGTTTGGGGGGGGTTCGCTTTTTTTTGTTGTTTTTGTGTTGGAAGGATTTCTTCCGTTGTTTTGGTTTTGAGGATTTTGTTTGGTTAGTTGGTTCAGTTTTGCTCTTTGGATACCCTGTAGTTACCGTTACTTGACTAGTTCATTAACGTCACCTTGGAATCTGATAAGAGAAGTTGCTCTTTGCGGTTGCCAGTGTTGAAGTTTTGTCACCTTTGCTAAGGTGACTCATGCCAGTGAGAAAGAAAATTGAGAAGCTGGAGGTTACCGATACATGTGCTGAACTAGTTAGGTTTCAAATCACATTACTGTATTTGCATAATTGGTAATGATGCATAGCAAAGAGGGATCTGTTTTGCCTGAAAAACAGCCTTGTGGAAACTCTGAAATGTTGAAAATTACATGGAAAATTCTGTTGTCAACACCATTATCATGGCTCCGAGGAGATGCTGTTGCAGCCTTTCAGTATACAAAGGGGGCCTACAAGAAAGACAGAGAGTGACTTTTTACCAGGGCCTGTTTTGACAGGACAAGGAGCAACAGTTTTTAACTGTTTTATATAAGGCAAAGACTTCTTTTGACCTAAAGCTTATTTGTAGTACTGCTAATATCCTTGAATTTTCTATAAGGAGTTTTATTGGAGTTGCTTAAGAGATATTTTCATTTGGTGGTTTTGCTTACATTTATATTTTAAAGCAGGTAAATTCTGAACTTTGCCCCTTGGATGATAATTGTAGTTAAAATAAGGTAACAGCTTGTAAATGGATTACTGCAGAGAAGTAGAAGGGTCTTGCTGCTGAATGCTTGGGATCCTTCCTGATTCAAGTGGCCTTATGGAGAGTCGGTGTGACAGTGTTGCAAGAAAAGTTACTCTTGTAACTTTTCTTCTTCAGTTTTGTACTGACAAGGAAGACCCATGGACAAAATAAATCCTCTAAAAGTAAGTTTTATATTGGTGCATAAACTTACTGGAAATCAATATTTGCACACAGCCTGCAGTATAGTAATGTTATTTTTTTACAATAAGTTAGTGTAGTTTAAATATTACATCATGACAACTAAGATAGTGTATTATTAATTATTATAAAATAATTCTTATGTGCAGGCTTCTATGTTGGAGAAAACTTTATTAAATTTCCTGGGGATTTTCCCTACCTAAGGGAGTTTCCCAGTTGCTTGTGCTTACCATTTTGACACACCTGAAGAACTTGCAGTAGACATGTCATGGAGGATTCTTTATCTTCTCTCTGCCTGGCTGAATGCAGCGACCTAAGGGACGGGGGCAATAATGACAAGTTCCTGCCCAGTGCAGCAAGTGTGTCTCCTCTATGGCTACCCTACCCCCCCACATGCCCACTTAATACTTTGGAGTCCATGCACATGAAACCGAACAGTTACAAGAACAATGATTCATCTAGCTTGGAGGTTCTGCCAAGGTTAAGTCGACCTATACCCTGCATCAGAACTGCTCCCACAAAACAAAAAATATCATTGTCATGAGAGACTCCCTTCTTGAAGGGAACAGAAGGCTCAAAGAGAAGGATCTGCTTCTTGGGGAAGTCTGCTGCCTCCCTGAGACCTGGGTAAAAGATGGGAAGAGAAAGCATTCCACTGTGATATGGCCTTCAGATTAATATCCATTATTGATTTTAATTTTTTTTTTTCAGGTAGGCAGCAGTGAATTTGCAACAAGAAGTCTGGAAGGTAATGAAGGGCAAGTTTCAGGGCCTTAGTTAAGAGATCAGGAGCACAAGTACTGTACTTCTGTATCCTTCCAGTTGCAGTGAATGATGAGGGAAGAAATAGCAAGAACCAGCTGATCAATGCCTGGCTCCAGGTCTGGTATCACTGGCGGAATTTGGGGTTTTTTGATCATGGGTTGGTTTACATGACATCAGGTCTGCTGGCAACAGACAGGGTACACCTGTCTCAGAGGGAGGAAAGGATCTTTGCACAGGAGTTAGCAGGGCTCTTAAGAAGAGCTTTAAACTACATTTGAAGGGCAAAAGGGATAAAACCAGGCTTGCTGGAGATAAGCCTGGCAGCAGCACACCTGTATTTGAGGGGTAGTGTGCTATTGATGCCCTTTGATCTTCCATCTCAGTGAAGGCAGGGGATGGTGATCCATGTGGCAGCAAAGACCAGGGGTTGTTGGTGTGTTAGAAACCACAGAAGCATCTGAGATTGGTCATACAGGAATTAGGGCTTCTCCCCCCCAAAAAAGTGGCATCAATAGCCTGGTTTAAGTGCTTCTACACCGATGCACACAGCATGGGCAACAAATAGGAGGACTGGAAGCCACTGTGCAGCAGGAAAACCGATATAATTGACATTAGAGAAATATGGTGTGATGACTTACAACTGGAGGGCTGCAGTGGATGGCTGTAAACTCTTCAGAAGAGATAGTCAAAGAAGGAGGGGTGGTGGCGTAACGCTGTGTTTTAGGGACTGTTTGTATTGTCTAGAACTTAACTATGGTGTCAATAGGGTTGCTTATGCATAAGAATCAGGGGGAAGGCCAACAGGACAGATACCCTGGTTGGGAGCCTGGTGTAGACCATCCTGCCAGGTTGAAGAGGGAAATGAAATATTCTCTGAGCAGGGAGAAGTTGTACAGTTGCTGGCCCTTGTTCTCCTGGGGCTCTTCGACTCACCAGATGTCTGCTGGAAATAGGGTACAGTGGAGAGGAAACAGTCTAGGAGGTTCTGGAGTGCCTGGAAGATAATTTTCTGACAGAGTTGATGAGTAAACCAACTAAGGAAGGTGACCTACTGGACTTATTGTTCATGAACAGATAAAGGCTTGTGGGTGATGTGCTATTCAGAGGCCATCTTGGGCACAGTGATTGTGAAATTACAGAGTTTTCAATTCTTGGAGAAGTAAGGAGGTGCTCAGCAGAATTGTTACCTTGGGCTTCCAGAGGGCAGACTTTGGTGTATTGAGGAGACTGACAAACTTTTGGGAGACATTCCTGAAAAGCAAAGAAGTCCAGGAAAGCTGGATATTCTTCAAGAAGGAAATCCTAAAGGCGCAGGAGAAGGCTGTCCCCATGTGCCGAAAGAAGAACTGGCAGGGAAGGAGACCAGCCTGACTGAGCAGGGAGTTTTGTCTTGAAGTCAGGAGAAAAAGGAGAGTCTATAGCCTTTGGAAAAAGGGGCAGTCAACTCAGGAGGACTACAAGGATGTCGTGAGGTTACACAGGGAGAAAATTAGAAGGGCCAATTAGAACTTAATCTGGCTACTGCTGTAAAAGTTGCTACAATGAAGTGTTTCTATTAATACACTAGTAACAAAAGGAGAGCCAAGGAGAATCTCCATCCTT